CACCACTGACCGGGCAAGTCATAGCTGCAAGCCTCGGTTTCTTCATCTGTCAAACCAAGAGACGACTTCTCCCCAGCACGGGGATGTAGCGAAAATGAAATAACAGAGCCACGTGTGCATGCACCTAGCACCGTGCCTGGCAAATAAGTGACTCCCCAGCAAGGGTTAATTTTCTCATTCCTTCTGCCCCGCTCTCTACCCCGACTCAGGCGGATCTAAGTGTCAGTCCTGGTCCTGGATTCTGCCACCTGCGAGCTGGTGACAGAATAAACCACCTCGTTTCTTGCATCTTGATTTTATTCTCTGAATAAAACAAATAAATAAAATGGTGTCTGTAAACATTATGTGAAAACACTTTGTAACTTATAAGAGTACAACTACACAAATGAGAGCTCGAATAATTAATTAGACAACGAGTGTAATTTAATCATGGTGGCGGGGAGGGGGGGCAGGGTGGGGACACATATCCCTGAAGCCTTGTCAGGGTCACTGCTGTTTATTTCTTAAACAGCCTTATCCCAAACCCATCCTACCAGCTCCTGAGTTAACCCTTGCAACGGGCCACGGTCTTTGCGGGGAAGGGGAATAGGGAGCTATTGCTTAATGGGTACCGAGTTTCTCTTCGGGGTGAGAAAAAGGTTTTGGAAATAGTGGTGGTGGTTGCACAACATTGTGAATGTAACGAATGCCACTGAGCTACACACTTAAACATAGTTAAAATGGCAAATTTGATGCTATATGTATTTTACCACAATTTTAAAAAGTTATTAATGTAATATCCCAAGACCCATTGAACTGTACACTTCCAATGGGTGAGTTGTATGGTATATGAATTGTATCTCAATAAAAGCTGTTAAAAAAAAAAAAAAAAAGGAACACCACACACCAGTTCCTGATCAAGAACTTTCAGTGGCTTCCCATTGCCTAGGCAAGGGTGAGTACATTTTTTATTTTGGAAAGGGCCAGACAGTAAATACTTTAGGCTTTGTGGGCCAGATGTCTCTCTCACATGAAAGCAGCCACAGATAATATTAAGTGAATGGCGCAGCTGTGTTTCAATAAAATTTTATTTACAAAAACAGGCAGTAGGCCGGATTTTGCTATGGGCTGTAGTTTGCCAGGCCTTGGCTTCCAGAATCACATCTACCGCTTTTGGTCAAGGCATTTCAGAATGCCCCGGCAGCACGTGGCTCCAGCTTACACACTTCACCTTCCCACAACTCTCTCTTCTAGCCCAGCTCCCTGATTTCTTCTCCCTCTTTCTCCTCTAAAGGTCTAAAATCGTGCCCTTAGCTCTTTCTTGCTTGTGGCTGCCTAATAGTCTCACTATTGGCCCGTAGTGTTAGTTATTTTTGCGAGTCCTGGTTTTCTCACACTTCAAATGAACACTATTCTTGGGCAGAAATGGAATCTTTTGTTCTCCAAAAGTGATTGTTGAGTGACTATGAGTAAAGTCAACCAAAGTGCTTAGAAAAATATGCATTTCTGGTTTCAGATGGGACTCATTCATTCATTCGTTCATTCATTCGTTCAACACTTCCAGAACACCTATTGGGCATCAGGATGTGTGCCAGATGCTGTAAGTTTACAGTTTTCAAAAAGTCTCCCAGAAATTTGGGGGTGGGGAGAGTGGGTGGTGGAGACACCAGGAATGATGGGATCAGAGTAATTCCTTTTTATTTAATTTAAAACTTGAAAAAATGTTCTACTGCTTAAAAAACAGAAGGATATATAGAGAAATGAATAAGATCTATTTCCCACCCTTGAAGACTTTATAACCTAGTTATAATCACGGCCAAGATTTATTTACCATGTAGTATGGACAACAATGCACTATGAGCCTCTGTGAGCCAGGCAGTATTAGCTCTATTTTAAAGGAAGAGATAACATGATTTACCCAAAGTCATCAGCATGCCCTTGGCAGAGCTGGGAATCCAACTTGGGTCTGGTAATGACAATAAGAACCAACACTTGCTCTGAATTTCTTATGAGCCTGGTGAGGGCGAGGGGCATGTTGCCTGGGTCAGCTCACTTAATTCTCTTAACAATTCTATGAGTGGAATATGCACCCATTTTGCAGATGAACAAACAGGCATAGAGAAGTTAAGTTAAATTACGATGCAAATTCTGACAGTCTTGTTGCCAGAGTCTAAACATCGTAACAACTATACTGTTAATACTCAATGACGCAAAAACTTAACATATCAGCAAACAAACTGGAACAATCCCTTAAGCTGTTTGTAACGAAATTTGGTTACTGTAGTTTTCTTGTCTAACAAAGCTAGTCTACAATATGGTACTTTGTCAATAGGTGTTACCATCTAACCAAAAAAACAGAGAATTAATGCTTAGACTACCAGTGACTTCCAGACCATCAGCATAGTACAGTAGACGTAACATGAGACTTGGAATCAAAAGGCTTGTGTGTCAAACAGCTCTGCTACTTATTGGCTCTGTGACTTTTGGTAAATCACCAAAAGATACCTCTCTGATCTTCAATTTCTGAATCTGTAAAAAAGAAAAATATTTTCCCAGTGTCCCTCCCTTTCTCCTTCCTTCTTTCTCTCTTTCATATCTTCAATGAGGTAATAAGGTGAAAGTATTTTGTAAATGATCAAGGGTTACACGAGAGTAAAAGGTGGTCATCATTATGTAATTCTGAAATTCTAAATGTTGTGTTTACTTAGAATTGTTCTGGTTTCTGTATGAGAACCTGTAATGGTTTGCAAGTTTGTATACTGTTTGTCGGATGGGAACTTCCATTTCCCTTTCTCCATGTTTCCAAGAGACTCGAGCATGAAGGCCACTTCTGCATGACCTCTCTCCCACCAAGCTGACTGGAGAGTCTGGAAGAGTCCGATTAGCTGAACATGCCATCTATCCTTCCTTTCCTTTGGGATCTGTCTACCTGCAGGGAACATGTGTTCTTGATTGTTCTATTTCTCGTGGTAAGCTTAGAGGGCACTGCCTTTATAGCAAGAGGCCCGAGGTTGTTAGTGTTGCTTGTCAGTGGATATGCAGGTCTAATTCAATACTGAGGTATTTGCAAGCCTGCCTGGCTGGCAAATGTAAGACAGATTCCCCACTATTGACTTCATCAGTAAGACTCACCTCAGTCCTTTATCTCCCAGTTGATTCTGAAACTTGGGCAAAGAAAAAGGATTATTAATGGACTCTGAAACTACCCACATATATGGTATTGAGGTTACTTAGAATGGAGAAAGGCGGGGTGTCCTCTTCTTTGAATTCTGCCCACTCTACCTCACAATCCGCCCTCCTGCCCCAGAGCCCCTTCTGTCTCAGTGCTGCACTTACTTGATGGCGTAGTTGCAGACCAGGTACACCGCCTGGTGCCAAGTGCTGCCCCAGACACTGATGCTGCCACAGGTGTGGATGGCACAGCCCAGCCGATTGGAGGATGCCCATACCATCTGGGGAAGGACAAAGATGGCGAAGCTGTGAGAAGGAGTCAGTGGGGCCCAGGATCCTTGGGGTTGGGAGGCTCCCAGACTTCTTTCAGGATGGGTGCATTAAGTGAGGTCTACCTGTCTCAAGGTGAGGGGGCTGGAAGCATATTGTACTATCGTGTTTCTCAAACTTCATTTTTTTCTACAACCAACAGTAAGGAAAATTTTTCATAATGTTACCCTGTGCACAAACACACACGTACACAAAATTGGAACAAAAATTTTATGAACCAATATTTAATTTTATCATGTGTGAAATGTGCTAATATTTTTTGTACTGTTTTATTAGGTTTTTGTCTTTTCTTTTTTCCTAGTGACCACTGTTTGAAAATTGTTGTTGTGTTGGAGGTTATAATACCAACTTGGGAGTTAAACAGTCTTGGGTCAGAATCTCAGTATCACTAGCTGTGTGACTTTCACCAAATCACTTAACCACTCTGTGCTTCAGTTTCTTCTTTGGTAAAATGGAGATAATGATACCTCATGGGATGTCAGGAAGGACATTTCATTTAGGCCTTACACTTCCTAGAAGGTCTCATATTTAGATTTTTGACGTTAACTCCAAAAGAGTCATAGAAAGACCAACAGGACTAAAAGAAGATATTTGTCATACAATTAGAAGTTTTTGTCCAATTTCTTGCAACATTATATTGCATTGTATTTTTTATGCGTGATAAGTATTAATATATTCAATATTAGCACTCGAAATATACTGTGATTTTTGTTACCTTATTTTGGCATGTCTTTTTAAGCCTTTCTAAGTAGAAGCCTTAGAAAACAAAATACTAGCACATGTTGGGACCTATTAAATTCAAAAGCGTTCTTGAACTTGTCCTACAGCTCCATTTTGGGGTAAAAAAAACCTATCATTCCACCTATGACACTCGAAACCAGATTCAGGTCAGCTCAACTCAACATACATACAACCTTCCAGGAACATGCTTATTATGTAAAAGAACATCCACAGGGGGCTCTGTTTTATTTGTAATTTCTGTTCCACTACATTCTTTTTTCTCCCAAGGGACTAAGATTTGCTCTCCCATCAGTCCTTAGTCCCGACAAAGGGGTACCTGGGTGTAGTGGGAGCAGACAGGGCCACTGCAGTGCCAGGGGCAGTGTGGGTTACAATCTTTTGGGGCTGGAAACAAATAATGTCGCTTCTCCTCAGACCAAGACTTCACGAGATCCACCACTGAGCGGTACCTGGGAGGCAGAGAAGATGGAAGATGCTGGTTGGGAGAAAGGAAAAGCCTCTCTGCCACCAACCTGCTTGGCGACCTCGTCGAATGACTGACTAAGTAAAGGAAGGGCAGAGGGTCACTCACCGGCCAGAATGGATGGAGAGATTCTGTCCCACGTATCTCATCAGCTGTGAGGGCCCGTGGGCCCAGATGCACTGGGTGGCCCAGGCCTTGGCAGACCTGGCCAGCCGCTCGTCCCAGACCTGCGGAAACAGAGGCCATGAAATTCCCCAGGGGAACAACCACCACCATCACAACAGTGTCCAGAGATACACGTTTACCTGGCGCCATTACGCCCGAACCCTGAAACAAATCCACTTGACAGCTTAGGAAACTGAGGCTCAGAAAAGGCTTGTGACTTCAAGGTCAACAGCAAGTCCACATCAGAGTCGAGATGCACACCCAGGTCTCTGACTCCTCGTATGGTGTCCTTGTCCCCTCACTGGACTTCAAGCTTTGGGGCTGTGCTGTGAGCAGAGTCCTGGGGTTTTGATCCAGGAGTTCTCAGCAGTTCCTAGGAGTGGCTGAGCCCAGAGTGACGAGAAGATGACTGATTTTATTATAGCTTATTTTTTTTACCTTACTTATTGTATTTTTAAAAATGAATTTAACATTAAAAGTATTTAATTCAAAAGGTTTTTTTTTTTTTTGAATAATGAAGACATGCACACGTTTGATATGTAAGATGTCCAAAGGAGGTAAAGTGGAAAGGCTCTCATTTCTATCCTCCACCTGTCCTTGATGTCACTTGTCCCCTACAGGGTGTGAGGAGTTAGTGGTGAGAACTGCGGTTGGAAAGAGAGGTTGGTGAGAACAGAACGTTTAAGGCTTACCTTTGCTCTGAGTTTCTTAACTCTGAGCCTCCTGTGCCCTCTTCCAGAAATATTCTATACCTGTACAAGCATACATATCTATGTCTATATGTATGTGCACACATATATAATATATGCACATATATGGTTTTTACACATAGTGATACATGTATAATAATATATGATATATGTGTATGTATATTATAAATGGCAGCATGGCAGACATATAGACATTCTATTTGGTGTTTCTCTTTTTTCTTTGGAAACTTTCTCTTTTCACTTAACAAGATAGGTTATCTTAGTGATTATTCCACATCTGTAGATTGAGAATACCCTTCTCATCCTTCATCATTTTCCAATGCATGAATGCTCCAAGTTTTATAATCTGAAAAAAGCATCACTTAAAAAAGTGCTAGTTCCGCTCTAGCTCTGACTTCCTGGGGTCCTCTAAGATGTTAGTTGTTCATTCAGCAGATATTGAGCAGTATTGCTAGGCACCAAGGACTCTGTCTAGCAAGATGATACGTAAGACAATCGTTACAATCCTTGCAGGTGTGAGAACGTGAAACAGAGGACTGGAACTTTCCTGGGGCTGTGGGAGAGGAAGGACTCCTTGAGCGAGGGTACTTGTCTTGCGGACAGAAGCCAAGGGCACAGCTAGTGAAGAAGAAATGGAGGTGCCAAAAGAGGGGTGCAAGCATCTCCCTAGGGTTGTCTGACTCATAGTCTTTTAGGAAAGCAGAAGAATGTCTCTTTCATGCTGCAAAGGGGGTACACTGAGGGAAGGGGCCTGCTAACATCAAACCTACACTCGTTGACCCTCCCCAAGGTCCCTGGTGAGACATCTAGCTCTCTCTGCTCCACAATGAATGCCATACATAATTAGACGCCTGTTGGAGTGAGTGCCTTGCACATACAACTGGTGCTCAATAAATGTGTCATTTGTTTGAAAATGGAGGGCTTTCTTTCTATGTGCCAGTTGCGGTATTAATAAATGAATGAGTCGGTCAATGAACAAATAACTGTTCCCCCACCGCTAGCTGTCTGCCATTCCAGCTCCAATCCCTACCTCTTCCCAACACCTTATCACTGCCTGACATTATAATCTCTATATATTTTGTTGTTGATGTTTGTTTTCTATCATCTCCACCGAAATGGAAACTCCATGAGGGAAGGGCTTTCGTCCATCCTGTTCTGGGCAATGTCCACCAGGCTTAGCATGCTGCCTGACTCTAAGCAGCATTAGCATGTAAGTAAACGGACACTTTGCAAAAGAATTTTCAGACTGTTGAGTAGCAAGTCTTAGAGAAGGGGGACCGGCAATGTCTTTTCCTCAAGAAATCTGTGGATGAGCTGGAAGCTTCTCTCCCCAGGCTGGTTTGGGACAATGGTCCTGGAGGAGGAGCTGTGATAGAGAAAGCTTCCCTCCTTCACCCTGGCTGCTGGGAGGCTGGGGTGACAGCCACCGGCCCTGCCTCTTTGAAGGCAGACATTCTAGCTTCCCCGGATGGCCAGAGTGCTGGTTTTCCTCAGCTGGAGACCTCCAGCTACCAGTCCCGCAAGGCTCTAAACTCTGCCTCTCCAGTCTTGCTGAGGATGGTCTGGTGTGCCCATCACAGCCGTGGGGCAAAGAGAACTTAGCAAGGAAAGCTCCAGCCACCCGCCTCCTGCAGATCCCCAGTGGGGGCCCAAAATTCTTGGGCAGGGTATTGTGTTGGTTAAGGCCACAGCCTTTAGCAGCGGCAGACCTGGGTTAGAATCCCAACTGGATGACCCTGGGCAAATTAACTCTATGTATCTCAATTTCTTTATTTGGAAAATGAGGATAATCACTCCCACCTTGAGGAAGAGGCGTGTCCTCAGGGTTCTGTGAAGTGCCTGGCACACAGTAGGTGCTCCATAAGTAGCAGTCCTCTGTCCCTGACTCCCCGGAGGACCTGTGCAATTGCCTTAGTGTCCTTATCCTTAAAACAGGCAGACTAATTCCTGCCCTTTCCACGGGGTCCAGACGACCCAGATACTGGCTAGCGGGGCCAGGCCGGTGAATGGTCCAGCCCTTCCAGGACATGTTGAGACAAGTGGCATTTGGTGGAAGGGGCACTGGGGAGGGCATGGAGACTCACCATATACTCCATGTTGGCAGCAGGCGGGCGCACGCTGGCCCTGATGTGGTTGTGATAATCCAGTAAGGCACTCACGTCCCGGGCAGAGATGTAGCGCTTCTGCCGGTAGCGGGCCACCCCCAGGCCACTCGTGGGCCACATGGCTGTGCCCTCGGTCTGGGCCAGTGCCAGGGTGGCATTGGGCATTAAGGTGTTCACTGTCTGGCCCGCCCAGAAGAGCAGGCCTGCCAGGCCCACCGTGCCGGGCAGCAGGGGCATAGCTGGCTGGAGGGGTCACGCGTCTGCCTCGTGCAGTACGAGCTGGCTGCCTAGAGGGGGTGGGCATGAGGGCGCCAACCCTGAGTGTTCTCAAGCATCGCCACCCATAGGATGCTAACCCTGGGAACTTGGCAAAGGTCTCCTAGCTCAGCTCTAGTCCATGTGCCCAACACCTTGTCCTTCCCACCCCAGCGGACTGAGTAGATTGGGCAACAGAAAGAAATGCACAGACAGTGGCTAATCTGGACCAGGACCTGGGGTGAGATGGGGTTACCACTTCGAAGCCAGGGCCCCAGCCCACCAGCCCAGGAGGCAGACAGCAGTCCTCCCCAGCCTGGACACCCTCTTCACCCAGCCCGCTCAGAGTGGGCTCCTTCAGTGTCCTCGGACGGGCAGGGCCAACTTTCCCCAAGGCTTAGTGAGGGCGCTCTCATCCCAAGCTGCTGCACATTCAAGACCGAGAGCAAGACGCAGAAAGAGCCAGACGACGGAGAATGAAAGAGGCGGAGAGAAAGAAAAATGAGAAACGGAGACAAAGAAAGTGAGAGAGAAGAAAGAGATACAGGGAAAAGGAAGGAAAGAAACAGGAAGTTGAAAAGATACAAGAGGAAAAGAGAGATGATAGGAGGGAAAAAAAAAAAGAAAGAACAGAGGAGAGAGAAATTGAGGTAGAGAGAGAGAGAAAGACAAAAGGAAAAAAGAACAGAGAAGAGGGAGAGAGAAACAGACTCAATGAGAAGACAGCCAGAGGGGAGGCGAGCGCGTGGGAGAGCAGGCAGCGGGCTCCCCGGAGCGCGTACCCAGGATGGGCAGCCCAGGCGGGCGGCAGGAGACGGTGAGGAGGCTGGCGACCTCTGCAGACACCCTGGCCCGCCTGGCAGCACCGCGACTTTAATGGTCCTCTGGGAGCTGATGGCATCTGACGTGCTGGGCTCCACAGCCCCCTCCCCTTTCGGCCAGGCCGGACTTGGACAGGAGGTTCCGCCCACTGCCCATTTGTGGGCTTTCCTCTCCCGCCCTCTTGAGCCTCTGCTGTTCCCACTTCCACCTGGAGTACGCAGGGCTGGGGCTAGACTTACTGGTCAGGACAGGGATGTGGCACTGGCAGGGATTCCAGGGGGAAATACCACCCCCCCTGGAAGACTCCAGATCCGGACGTTTCTCTCTGCCTCCTAGACCCCAACATATTAAGGCCACCTTGCTTCAGCGAGTATTTTCTGTTTTCCCTACGAAGCCCTCTGGCCTCAGAGCAGGCAGTTAGTTAACATGGCCCCATCTCATGAGCATCTGCTATGTGCCCAGCCCAGGCTGAGTGCTTCGCACACACAAACTCAGCAAACTCTCATAAGCAGATACTATAGCCCCCCACTTTCCAGATAAAGACACCAAGACCCAGAGAGGTGAAGGAACAAGTACAAAGTCATGCCAGCCTGTCCACAATCGAGCCAGGATTCAAATCCAAGTCTGACCCCAGGGCCATGAGTATGTAAAAAGGGTGCCATGTTTGTAACCAGATCAATATGGATGCACAGGAAGAAAGCCTGGGAGTATGTATATTCACTAATATACAGCTCACACATAGCATCTCATTAATTAAGCTCATGGATCTGGGTTCAAATCTCCATACTTTCACTCACTGAGTAACTTGGGCAAGTCACTCAACCATTTTGTGTTTCATCTGTAAAATGCGAGTCATAATGGGACCTACCTAGAGCATTGTTGCACACATTAAATAAGTTAACATTTGTGGAGCACTCGGAAAGTGTCTGGCACACTGTGTGTACTTGCACAAGCATGTATGTGCTTATATGTTATGTGTCGGTAAGCACACGTGTATATGCATTGCTTATGATGGTTTGTGTGTCATATATATATATATGTGTGTACTGATACATGCATGATCATGCTGGTGTGTATATATGATGAGCATGCAGGTGTGTATGTTTGTTTCAAAGCCTCTTGGGTCTCTGGGTTAAGAAAGTTTAATTTTCTCCTCTCTGACTAATTGTGTTCTCCACAAATAACAAGTAATACTTTTGTAATGAGGGGGGTAGACTTACAAGATAGATATTATATAAAAAAACAAAGTAGACACATCTGTCAGCGATCAGCCTCCTCCTCCAGTGACCTCTGAGAGTACCCAGGCAGAATCAGGTGGTGATGCAGGGCTGGAGGCTGGGACCGGGCCCCCGAGTGGGGTCCTCCCCAAACACATGGAATTCTCACCCCGGGCAGCCACCCGGCCTCCGCCTCCATGGCCCAGACAGAGCCTGCTGCCAAAGCACACACCTTTCGGCTAGAGCAGCTTCCCTCAGCCCAGGCTGAACACTGGGGGAGGTGGGGTAGGCAGGCAGTGAGGAGTGGGGGCTGCCGCCCCTGACCTCTGCAGGGCTTTCCCACCATCCCAGAAGGTCAAGAGAGATTGGCTCAAGCCAGCCCCCATCTCCGCCTCTATCCAGTATGCTGGATGTCCTGGGGCGAGTCCCTATCCTTCTCCGGGTCTAAGATGCCCCATCAGAGAAACTAAACTAAGGACTCTTCTGCCTCCAGCAGGCCGGGAACCATGGTACACCAGGGGGAGCTCTGCAGCCCAGGGAAGGAAGACGTGAATGGCTTGACACTTAGGAACCCGGGAACATCAATGATTATGTCTCATTCTCTCAGAATGCTTAACACAAACTTCTCCCATGTAACTGGCATTTACATTCATTCACTTGTCCGCAGAGCTGCCTCTGAGGTAGTAACCGCACGCATTGTACTGATGAAGGTACCGAGGCACATGGAGCCTTGGTGTCTTGTCCTAGGGCCTGGAGGTTGTTTCGTGGTAAGTGGGGTTCTGGCCCTGAACATCCTCACGCATTTACAGAATGCACATACTCATCCACTGTGCACATACCACACACGTACATGCACGCACTCACACAAGCACACCCCCCTCTCACGAATCACAGAGACGGCCCATTCCCCCAGCCCCTCAGATCCTTTCTACTGTTCGCCCTCAGGCGCCCTTGTGTAAATATGCAGAAACCCACCCTTTACACATTTAATCAAATCTAACACATAAAAGCTGTGCATGTTTGCTCCTACCTCAGTGCCCAGCCCTGTTTTGAGCACTTTACGTGGATGAGCTCATTCAATCTTCAGAACAACCCTATCAGGTCAGTACTATTATTGTCATCATGTCCATTTTTATATACGTGAGGAAACTGAGGCACAAAGAGGTGAGTCATTTGCCCGAGGTCACATATCCAGTGGGTGGCAGAGGTGGGATAGGCACCTGGGTAGGCTAGTTACACTGTCTTTCCACAGAGACAGACAGACAGGCCTGGAGGAAGGTACAGGCCCACAGTCCAACCACACAGACAAAATCACCATCTCCTACCCTACATGTTCACACAGCCCAGGAACCCAGAAATCGCACTGGTGGCAAACACACAGGGACACCCCTGGCAGCTCCACCAGCTGAGACCTTCTCTAGTGTCCTCATTGACTAGGGCAGTTTCCAGTAGATAAAATGTTAGAAGGAAGGTAGGGGCAAGAAATAATCAGGGGCAGCCCAGATTAACGTGCTGGCTGGCTTCTCACTTTAGGTTAAGAATACTTTCTCACCCTTGGGGTTTATCACCCTAGACTGAGCTTTTGCTCCAACCTCGCCCTTCCTGAAATTCACTCTGGGCTTGGATAAGCCAAGAGGAAATTATTATAGATGGAAGTAGTATTCAAGGTCGTATAGCTCTGTGGCTAACAGACAGCCTAGGTCTATGACCCGTCTCCATGGCTTACTTGCTGTGTAACCATGGGCAAGTTACTTAAGCCTTTTGTGCCTCAGTTTACTCATCTACATAATGAAGCTGCCTAGTGGCACTGTCGTGAGGATTAAATGAGTTAGTACATCTTAAGACACTTGACACAATGCCTGGCACAGAGTAAGCAGTCAATAAGCGTTAGCAATAGTAACAGCTAATAATAAAAACAATGGGAGTCGACATTTATTTAGCACATACAAGATGCCAGGCATTAAATGCTTTGGGGGCATGATCTCATTTAAACTTTGCCCCAGCTTCATGAGTTAGGTATCAGGATCCCCATTCTACAGACAAGGAAACGGAAACTCAGAGAAATTAAGTAACTCGCCCAAGTTCACAGAGCTAGTCCCAGTGGAAACCGAATTCCAATGCTGGGTCTCTCTGATCTTTACCCCGTCAAGTTGCTTTTCAGAAGAGACTCTGGGACCTGAGCCTGGTACTTGGGAAAGGAGATTGAGAACGTTGGAAGGCCCTTAGAAATCTTCTAGGTCACATCTTTCATTCGCTAGTTGAGGAAAGAGGTTCAGAGAGGTTAAGTGACTTGTCGAAGGTCACAGAACATGTGAAAAACAGGAACTCGTGCGAAAAATAGCGGCGGTGATCCACACTCTTCAAATGCTCCAGGTTCTTCCAAAAGACAAACTGTAAGAAAACCAAAGGGATAGAGGGAGAATCAGTAGAGACTTAAAAGATACACATTTTTTATAGAGCCAGGACTAAAATCTCCTGTTGAGGGATGTGTACTCGGCCAATAGCACCATAAAGAAACAAAGAAAACGATAAAAGTCAGGCTGTAAAAGAGGGGGGACATTTGAGAAGCTTCAATTTCCTGATCTGACTGGTGGCTACAAGTGGTTCACCTTATGAGGTTTCACATTTGCTTTATGTGACTTTCTGTATTGGTGTTTTATTTTACCATTAAAAAAAAAAAAGTCTCTTTAAAAAAATAACAGCAGTAGTAATTTATACAGTGACACCTTCCATCTGTTACCGCCTTAACCATGCATGAGGATTTTAATCTTTTAACAGGTTCAGAAAGGGAGGCAACGTGCCCACAGTCACAAAGCAAGTCAGTCTGGGAGCCTGGACTCGCCCCCTGTGGCTTGGTGAGTCTCCACTGCACAGCGGTGGTTGGGCTGCCAATGGTAGTTTCTGACCCAGCAAAGGGGTTTGGAGGAGTCTCACCACAGATTC